AGAGTCCGGCTGGACAGTCAGCAAAGCGAGCGAACTAGTCCGCGAAAAAAGCCAGATTGACCTAAAACCGACCTATTTGCCGCACTTGGCCGGTTTGAACTAGTGCGCTGATAGTGCCCGAATAACCGGACTGGTCCGCAGAGTCAAAAGGTTTTAAAGGTATCATCTGCTAAAAAGTGAAAGTAAAAAAATCTTTAAAACAATGAATGATTGCAAAATTGGCGTATAATGGAGCGCATTGAATAATTGATGTGAGCACGATAACATGTTTATCAACAGTGTAGAGGCGCGTTGCCAGATCCAGAGCCAGTAGTACGGTCTCTTTCCTATTCTCGTACTCTCTCTCTCTCTCTCTCTCTCTCTCTCTCTCTCAATCTTGCACTCTCTCCATCTGGCGCTCTCACATTCACATACTTTCTCTCTCCTATCCCCCTCACCCCTCACTCACCCACCGACACGCGCACACAGACACGTTCAAGCACACAACTCTCGACTGTTCAAACAGATCGTGTTGGGTTCGCTCGGGGATGCCGTTTGAGCCAGGGGGCGCTCCCCCACGCTTGTCCGTACGTGGCCAAAAAGAGGAAAAAGAAAGACCGGGTACCCGTTGTAAAAACTGGTCAAAAGGGTGCCTATTTTAACCCTGCCGGAGAAATTGCCTCTCGCAATAAGTCCCTGAAGAGGACTTCCCTTCGTATCCGCTGCACCGCAGACCTCACTGACGTCCTTGTATCAACATCCCAAACAGCTGCTGCCCCTCTCCTCTCGGTCTGAAAACTGTCTGCTGCACGTAATGCGGCGAACTTCAACTTGAACGCTCCTATCTTTTGTTGCAGGAGACTCGAGCAGGTAAGCTGTCTGGTCAACTGGGAGAGCCGTTCGGCGTGGCGCGGTCGCTTGGTCAGAAAGCCTGCTGGGGCCTGTGGAATCCTCTTCTAGCGGGCTCGGCCAGCCCTGGAATCTGGCGAGGCTCCCAGGGGAGGTGAGTGGCTGTAACACCCGACCCTGTGTTCCAGGACGATGGTGCACTGCGCGTGCTGCCGGAGCCGCCGCTGCCGTGGCTGTCGCCAGGACGCCGCCGGCGGTGCGGCGGGCCTCGTCGGGGAGGCCGCGGACCCGGCAGACAAGCTGTAGAACAAGCTGCTGGGGGACGTACGTGATGGCCTCGGGGGTCGCGCTGCCGTGCTGAGGACGTCCGCCTGCCTGCCCGGGCGGCGGGCGATGGGCGCGCGGGGCGACGTGGCGGCGGGTTGTCTGGCGGTCATGTGTCTGGCGGTGACCTGGAGCCCGGGGGCGGCCCTGGGCCGCAACCGGAACGCGGTAGAGACGCGTGGCGACCTGACCCTGGGCGGGCTCTTCCCCGTGCACGAGAAGGGCGACCCCGCGGCGTGCGGCAAGAAAGTGTACAATCGCGGGGTGCAGCGGCTCGAGGCCATGATGTACGCCGTGGACCAGATCAACCACGACTCGGAGCTCCTGCCGGGCATCGAGCTCGGCGTCAACATTCTGGACACGTGCTCGAGGGACACCTACGCTCTCAACCAGTCGCTCAACTTTGTTCGCTCGTCTCCCAACACCATCGACCTGACCGCGCTGGAGTGCCGCGACCAGGAGCCGCCCCGCCTCAAGAGGGGCATCCCCGGGAGGATTATCGGAGTGGTGGGCGGCTCGTACTCCTCCGTGTCCATCCAGGTCGCCACGCTGCTCAGGCTGTTCCGGGTGCCACAGGTAGGGTCAACTAACATGACAGCAGCATCCTGAACGTAATCGTCATTTGTAAACTGAATCGTAAGCATAGGCATACCAAGACGTTTTACTATATTCCGTTAGGGAAAAAACATTGTTTTACAGAGAATGGAATGAAGTTGCCATCTTAACATTTTATTAACGGCACGGAAATCTTTTCTAGTTATAGTTGTTCAACTAATTAAAACTTCGTAGTAATCTTTAAACCATCAGCTAATAACAATGTGTTCCGGGTGCCCTCCAGGTGTCTCCAGCGTCCACGGCCAAGGACCTGAGCGACAAGGCGCGCTTTGAGTTCTTCGCGCGCACCGTGCCGCCAGACAACTACCAGGCCATCGCTATGGTGGACGTGGTCAAGTCGCTCAACTGGACGTACGTGTCCACGGTTCACTCGGAGGGCACCTACGGCGAGAACGGCATAGAGGTGTTCGAGCGCGAGGCCTCGGAGCGCGGCGTGTGCATCGCGGCGCACATCAAGGTGCACGGCAATGCGGACCAGGCCGCCTTCGACGACGTGATTCGGAAGCTGAGCAAGGGCAACGCACGCGCCGTCGTCCTCTTCACCCGGGCCGAGGACGCCAGGTCAGTCAAAGATGCAAATTTGCCATAATTGATTCTCAACTAGGCAGGTTGGAGCTAGACTCTAAATTTCAAAAAACCAATCTATTCATTGGTAGCCAGAGATGAGCTAACATAACAAAATCATCCCAAAATATATTCTAACTTATCCGAACACGGACAATTCGTTTACGCTCCCTTCAGGGCGGAAACGTATTGGGGTAGCACGACAGTCTATAGACGCCCCAGATCAAGTGTACGCTTTGATTAGGGTTTACGGCACCGGGCTCTGACTGAAGTTAACGGCAAAATACAAGTTGACTTCATAACAGCGAAGCAAGTACCCGCCGGACGAAGAGTATTTTTAAATTGCCTGAAATACATTTTTCAGGATATCGCAAATGTCTCAAGGGACCGGTGGTCTTTTCTACGAGTACAGTCCGTGTGCAGTCGCTATCCTGACTTTGTCTGGGCTAAGCACGTTGGGCAGGGCGCCGGTGTTTTGTGGCTCCCGCTGTACTCCACTCCACCGTCATGAACCTCGGCCTCGGCCCCTTCCACTCCACTTCATTGCCCTCCTCGGTGGCTCCATCCGCATCGTCTCTTTTCCTCCCCCGTCGTCCTCCGCAATTAACTTACCATTAGTGGGCTGACCTGCCTGAGCCGCCCGGCCCGCCACGCTCCGTCCCACCCCGAGCCACCAGATAGGAGCGGAGTGGACTCACACACTCAAACAACAAACAGCTGATGAGAGGGCAGCGGACTCTCGGCTCTGAAGCCGATGCTGCGGAAAGTTAAGTTGTCGCTATGAACTTCCGAGTAGAGTGCCGCCAACGAGATGACTCGAGTGCTCCTTTTCCCTGCAACTCGATCGAATAAAAAGTTCGCCGCTCAGTGATCAGATGAGGTGGGTGTCGTTGTAGAGTGTGAGGGTGGGGTGGGAG